GCCTCGGCCCCGCGCGGGACCAGGTCACTGGACGGGGAGCTGCTGTTTTGCAGAGGGTGCAGGATGAAGGGCGCGTGGTCGTTCTCATCCACCACGTGAACACGGACAGTGGCCTGCGAGCTGAGCGGGGGGGAGCCCTTGTCCAGGGCCCTCACCGTCACACGGAGCTCCCTGATGTCCTCGTAATCGAGGGATCGCAGGGCGTACAGATTCCCGGTCTCGGAGTTGATGGAGACATAGGAAGACACTGGGCCATCCCTGACCTTCCCGGGCAGGATTGCGTAGGTCAGCTTGGCGTTCTGCTCTGCGTCCAGGTCAGAGGCATGGACTGAGCCGATCAGCAGCCCTGGAATGTTGTTCTCCCGCACCTGCATTTCGTAGAGGGGGCGTTCGAACACCGGAGGGTTGTCGTTGATATCCGAGATGGGAATGCTGATCACTGTCAGCGAGGTGAGCCGGGGAGAGCCTCGGTCCGTGGCCGTGACGGTCACGTTGTACTCAGGGACCCGCTCTCGGTCCAGGGTCCTCTGGGTCACCAGCTGGTAGTAGCTGTTCTCAGCAGCTCTCAGCACAAATGGAAGGCTGGGGTCGATGGTGCAGGTAGTCCTGGCGTTGTCCCTGGAGTCGCGGTCCATGACACTGAAGAGGGCCACCACCGTCTGCACGGGTGAGTCCTCTGGCAGGGGGCTGGTGACGGAGGTCACGGCCACCTCGGGGGCATTGTCGTTCTCGTCCTCCACCTCCACAAGGACCTTGCAGTATGCAGAGAGCCCCCCTCCATCCGTGGCTCGGAGGCTCAGCTCATGCTTGCTGTTCTCCTCGTAGTCAATTGTCCCTGCAGTTGCTATTTCTCCAGTGTGCTTGTTTAGCTTAAATGATCTGAGGACAATTTCTGGCACTCGGCTGAAAGAATATGTGATTTCTGCATAGGAGCCACTATCCCTGTCACTGGCTTCCACTCTAGTGACCAGTGTGCCCAAAGGAGTGTTTTCCATCAGTTTTACTTGGTATACAGATTTACTAAACTGAGGGGCATTATCATTGTTATCCAGGATGTCAATTATTATCTGTGCTGTTCCAGTCCTCTTAGGGGTCCCTCCATCAACAGCCAACAGAATTAAAGACATCTGTGCTTCCTCCTCATGGTCTAACTGTTTCTTTAAAACCAAACCCGCATACGTATCGCCATCAGCGTGGCTTTGTACATCGAGCTGAAAGTGCTCATTAGGACTGAGTGTGTAGTTCTGAACAGCATTTTCACCTTTGTCTGCATCTTGAGCGCTCTCCAAAGGGAATCGGGTATTTAGCTGAGTCTGTTCAGGTATTTCAAAGATGAATTCATTTTTAGAGAATCTGGGGGGATGGTCATTCACATCCTCAATCTGAACCTCGATGCGGTGCAGCTGCAGGGGATTCTCCAGCACGACCTCAGAGAGCAGGACGCAGGGGTCCTTCTCACCACACAGTGCCTCCCGGTCAATACGCTCTTGCAGGAGGATGTTTCCAGAAAGAGGGTCCAGCCGGAAGTACTGCTTGCTGCTCTTGGAAGCCAGCCGGGCCCTCCGAGCGGACAGCTCCCTGCCCTCCAGTCGCAGATCCCGCAGCACATTCGCCACCACAGAGCCACTTTTCTTCTCCTCTGGCACGGAATAGAGGAAGGACTCACACGTTGTCACAAGTACACAGAGACACAAGAAAAAAGCCTGCACTTGCCTGCCCTGGAGGTGCCCTTCCATCGTCCAGTCTCTCCTCCACCCGGTCTGAGAAGCAGGGTGGCTCTCCTTGGGGCAGCTGCTGCAGCTGACCAGCCCCAGCACGCTTCCACAGCAAGCAGCTGCTTGTGCTTATTCCTCCGGCGATGGGCACAGTGGCTTTCCTTCCAGAGTGCCCTGAGCGTCTCTCCAAGTGAAGCTCTGCTGTCTTTTCCTTCTAATTCCTTTGTCCTGCAGTTACAACCAAGCAACTTCTGTGTTGTGTGATATTGCCACCTTGTGGTTAAGCCACGATACAACTCCCATTAATGGCTCTGCTTACAGAGATGAGGGGAAAGATCTTCTGCAGGGAGAGCTTGACATGTTTTGCATAGCCTGGAATGCTTGACTAGGAAAAAAAAAAAATGTCATGTATGGCTGAAAGGGAGAAAGAAGCAATCTCTGGAAGCATATTTCTTGTTTTCCCAGCTCTCACACATAGAAGAATCTGATGCAACCGACATTCACCTTTCCATGGAGTAATAGAGAATCATATTCTGGAATAAAGGATAAAGTTCCTTATTGTTTTTAATGCGCAGAATCTGCCAATTAAAAACCAAATAAGCACGTACCCTGATCACTGGAAAAGTGGTACATCTGCACATCTCTCCTTTACACTACAAGATGAATAACAATAACAGCTCAGATGTTTTTAGATTTGTTATTAAGCTGAGACATCAAAATAGTTTTCTTAGTAATGTTTATCAATTAATCCTTATAATACTTTTATAACATTAGTATTGGAACGCAGGAGCGATTTGATTTCCAAAAGCTTTGTGTTTGTTGTACATTCGTTTTTCTTTTCCACTGCCAGTGATCATCAGCATGGAATGTGATGCGATTTGCTTGAATCCGTAGAGATGGGTTGACGGACAGGACTGGATTTCACTCATCGAATGGAATGCCTCCCCTCTTGGAGCCCCTCGCACTGTCTTGCAGGCCAGTTTTAAATCTACACTTCATTCCAAAAGCAATGTCCCATGTAGGAAGCGAGTTACTGTCAAAGGAAAAGATGCGAGAAGTCCCATTGGTCACAGAGGATGGGATTCATGGTTCTTTGGATCTTGGTAGCCATCTGCTAATGGGCTGTGTGTCCATGGTAAGAACTGATATTCAAGTAAAAAATCCAATATATGAAACCCAACCCAGGCCACAGCATGCTTGCAAAATAGGATCCTGATATGAGAAGCAGAAGTATTAATACGAATTAACACTGAAACATCCCAACAGCAAAAAGACTTGCTTTGCAAAGATTGTTCCTGTATTCCAGCAACAAATTTCACATTTCCCCTGAGCTGAAAAATAAGGCCCCACCTACCCCAGCCTTCCAGGCAAAAGCGGCAGCTCCAACGGATCAGGTCTCAGAAGGGAATCAGATCATCTGTCTTCCAGTGCCCAAAAGACTTGAAAAGCACAGCAGAATAAATGAATCTATGAAGGCCGAGCCAAACCGTATTCAGAGAGACATCGAGCTTTTCTACAGGAGCTGTTCATCTGCTGCATCCGCTATCCCTGTCATTGTGGAGTCGAGATCCACTCTCCACAGAGCTTTCTTGTCCTGTCTTTCCACCACACAACCTCTAGGTGGTGCAGCCCCTGGCATCATTACCAAATGGGCAAATGCACTGTCTCCCCCTTTCAGAAATGAGGCTACCTTTTCCCTGCTCTAAAACAATCCCAGGACTTTCATTGCTCTTTAAAAACCTGGAAGGTCACATCATCAGCTAAAGAATCCGGATAAAGCCGCATGTGAGGAACAAGAAAAGCGGGGAAAATGCTTCATGGAGCAAAGTGGGATGGCAAGAAAGAGCACGGGGAAGGTCGCTGGGGAAGATAAGGAGTTATTTCAAGAGAAAAGTCCCTTGGTGCCATTTTAATACATTCATATTCTGCCTCTGTGACTGCGGTGGCTCCAAGGGCTGGCAAACGATGCAGCACAGAGCATAGCAACAGACCCTAAAGCAGACAAAAATGCAATACAAATCGGAAAATACAGCAGATCCATAAAAGCTGCAGTCACCACTGAATCCAGTCCCACTGCCCAAACAGTTGAAGTCTAGACAAGGCAATCAGTTACACAGCAGTGCTGCGGTCTATGGGAGAGCCCTGCAGAGCCCCCGGGGCATGCTGGGGTCCCCTTTCCCAAGCCACAGGCACTCCCGTAGTCTGGAAGGGGCTCTGTGCTCCGGTTCGGTCTGCACCCCTTGGGCCACTCTGGAAAGCAGAGCACCTGCTTCCGGGGTTCTTTCCTGGACTGAGAAGAGGCAGGGAAGAGCAGGGCAGGCAGAACGGGCAGATGGGAGCCTCGAAGCCATGGCTTCCTGTGGCCTCCCTGCCCCTGCCAGTCAGCCTCTCTTGATAGCCCAAGCGGGGAAGATGGTTGGAGGAGGTGCAGAGGTGAGGCACGTCCGTTGCTCCTCCCTGCTGGCTGCAGCCTGGCAAAGGCCATGATAGTCGGCAGCTGGCCACAGGCTGCTGTCCAGCAGGTGCCCACCCCACAGGACTGAGCCCTGAAAGTGCTGGGTCACTTGGGAAAGCACAAACACCATCAGCCAGTCTTGACGCAGCACCTCAGCTGGCCAAGGGCTGAATGGCCAAACACCTTCCCTCAGATCCTGGTCTCACAGTGCAGCCCAAGTTCAGACGGAAGATAATCATCCAGAGAAATGAGGCTGATGGGCCTAGGAGGCATCCATCCTAGAGTTATTGGCGAATTCAAGCATGGAATTGCTGCCTGTCTCACCAAAATACGTAACATGCCCCTAAAATAAGTCCTTGCAGGAGAGGATTGGAGAATGGCCAATGTAGCACCAAGTTTTCAAAAGGGATTCAGGAGGGATCCAGGAAATTACAAATCAGAGAGAGCAGAGAGGGAGCCATTTTCTCCCTCTCTCACAACACCCCAACCCAGAGTCATCCTGCGAAGCTGAAGGGTGGGAGGTTTAGGACAGACAAGAGGAAGGACTTCTTCACACGGCATACCGCTAAACTACAGAAGTGGTAATGGCCACTAATCTGGATGGCTTTAAAAAGGAATTGCACAGATTCATGAGGGAGGAGGCTCTCCGTGGCTAGTAGTCTTGCTGGCAACCTCCTTCGCCAGAGGCGGCCTGCCTGCACACACCTGTCACTGAGGAGCTTGGGCAGGAGGAGGCCTGGCCCCCGTCCTGCTTCAGGAATCCTGTGGGTGTCTGGTTTGCCACTGTGTGTACAAAGTGCTCAACTTGATAGACCTATGCTCTGATCCAGCACGGCTTTTCTTACATTCTTAAATTGTGGAAATAAAGCAAATATGGAGCTATCGCAAAGCTTGGATTGAGATGAGAAGGTGGGCTCCCAGGCACATGGAAACATGTGATGCCACTATACTGTAGAAGTGGTGGATGATCATCAGTTTCCTCAGTACATGGACAGGTACAAAGTAAGAAGAGACAAAAAGAAAGAAGAGTGAAAAGAAACGCAAGTACTTCAAATCTTCACTCATATCGGTTCAATTGTACATTAAGGTGTGGATCCAATCATAAAGTGCGGCGGATACTTTTCAATAGAGTTCTGGTCAATGATTAGGCATTTAGAATTGCAAAGTATATGAAAATGATTAGAATAATATTTGCTCACCTGGTTCATGAGTTGACTTTGTGCTGCACCACTTGGGATTTCTTGGGAATCTGCTGAATTCACCTGAGGGTTGGGAGACTCCATGGAAAAAATGGGGAAGAGCGGCCTGAGGAAGCGGAACTCGCTGTCCAGGGACCCGCCGGCCAAGCACACCTCATAGTTGAAGGCCTGGGAGAGCGAGCCAGAATCCTCTCCATTCTCCTGGGAACTGGGCCCCGCAGGGAACGCAGATACTGCAGGAAGGGCTCCAGAGAGCTTCCGGTGCTTCTGGATCTTGACCGCCACGAACACGGTGATGGACAGCAGGAAAATGGAGGAGATGGCAGCCAGGCAAACGATCAGGTACATGGTCAGGGTGCGGCCCTCCTCCTCGGCCTCCTCGTGCCGGGGGACGTCCACCATCTTCATGTAGGGGTCGGAGAAGCCGTCCACGAGCAGGATCCTGAGCATGGCGGAGGCGGACTGGGGCGGGTGGCCGCTGTCCCTGACAGCCACCACCAGCGTCTGTTTGGAGCTGTCCCGAGCCTGGACCGGCCGTGTCGTCCTCACCTCCCCGTTCTGGGCGCCCACCACAAACAGGCCCGGCTCCGTGGCCTTCAGCAGCTGGTAGGACAGCCAGGAGTTCTGCCCCGAGTCATGGTCCGTGGCCACCACCTTGGTGACCAGGTAGCCGGCCTCGGCCCCGCGCGGGACCAGGTCACTGGATGGGGAGCTGCTGTTCTGCAGAGGGTGCAGGATGAAAGGTGCGTGGTCGTTCTCGTCCACCACGTGAATGCAGACAGTGGCCTGCGAGCTGAGTGGGGGGGAGCCCTTGTCCAGGGCCCTCACCATCACACGGAGCTCCCTGATGTCCTCGTAATCGAGGGATCGCAAGGCGTACAGGTTCCCGGTCTCGGAGTTGATGGAGACATAGGAGGACACCGGGCCGTCCCTGACCTTCCCGGGCAGGAGCATGTAGGTCAGCTTGGCGTTCTGCTCCGCGTCCAGGTCAGAGGCGTGGACTGAGCCGATCAGCAGCCCGGGAATGTTGTTCTCCCGCACCTGCATTTCGTAGAGGGGCCGTTCGAACACCGGAGGGTTGTCGTTGATATCCGAGATGGGAATGCTGATCACTGTCAGCGAGGTGAGTCGGGGAGAGCCTTGGTCTGTGGCTGTGATGGTCACGTTGTATTCGGGGACCCGCTCTCGGTCCAGGGGCCGCTGGGTCACCAGCTGGTAGTAGCTGTTCTCGGTGGCTCTTAGCCCGAAGGGCAGGCTTGGGTCTGTGGTGCAGGTGGTCCTGCCATTGTCTCCAGAGTCGTGGTCCCTGACACTGAAGAGGGCCACCATCGTCTGCACAGGCGAGTCCTCTGGCAGGGGACTGGTGATGGATGTCACAGCCACCTCGGGGGCATTGTCATTCTCATCCTCCACCTCCACAGTGACCTTGCAGTAGGCAGAGAGCCCCCCTCCATCCGTGGCTCGGAGGCTCAGCTCATACTTGCTCTTTTCTTCATAATCAATTGGAGCTACCAAGGTGAGCTCACCGGTATGCCTGTTTAACTTGAACGCTCTGAGAATATTTTCTGCCACTTGGCTGAAGGAATATGTGATTTCTGCATAGGAGCCAAAATCTTTGTCACTGGCTTCTACTCTGGTGACCAGTGTACCCAAAGGGCTATTTTCCTGCAACTTTGCCTCATACAGGGATTGTGTGAACTGAGGGAAATTGTCGTTTGTATCCAGAACATTAATTAATATTTCTGCTGTGCCCGATCTCTGGGGAATCCCTCCGTCCACAGCTGTCAACATGAGAGTCACCTGTGCATTCACCTCTCTGTCCAAAGGTTTCTCCAGCACCAGTTCTGCATATTTGCTGCCATCACCATCAGTTTGAACATCCAGCCTGAAATGCTTGTTAGGACTCAGTGTATAATTCTGAACAGCATTTTCTCCTTTGTCTGCATCTTGAGCTCTCTCCAAAATAAATTTTGTCCCCAGGGGTACCTGTTCTGGAATTTCAAACAGTAATGGATCTTTGTAGAATTTGGGGGCATTGTCATTCACATCCTCAATCTGAACTTCGATTCGGTGCAGCTGCCATGGATTTTCCAGCACAACCTCCTCAATCAGAACGCAGGGGTCCTTCTCGTCACACAGTGTCTCCCGGTCTATGCGCTCCTGCAGGAGGATGTTGCCGGAATGAGGGTCCAGCCGGAAATACTGCTTGGCGCTCTTGGAAGCCAGCCGGGCCCTCCGAGCGGACAGCTCCCTGCCCTCCACTCGCAGATCCCGCAGCACGTTCGCCACCACAGAGCCGCTTTTCTTCTCCTCTGGCACAGAATAGTGGAAGGACTCACACATTGGCACAAGTACACAGAGACACAAGAAAAAAGACCGCACTTGCCTGCTTTTTGGGTGCCTTTCCATTGTTTCAGCTTTCACTCCCAATCAAGTCTGAAACATCAGCTGGTCCTTTCCAAGGTGCTGGTATGTGTTAAATGTCTCAAAGGCAGATTTCTTGCAAGTGGTATTTATCTTTAAGTGGATAGAGATGCCTCTTCTTCTTGAAGGTGTTGCAGATTTGGCTGCAGTGAGGATCTGTTGCCTTTATCTCTGGGGCTCCTTGTCTTGTGACTGCAGCTCTCCGAGTGCTGGTCACTCCCTGTTACATCCTCTGTGTGGTGTGGCAGCACCACCCTGTGGTTGAACTAGGATGATACATGCTCCACACACATTGCCACTAACCTAGCTAAGCTTTTTTTTAATAAAATGTGTTCTTTTTTTAAACAGCTGCATATGATGCCACTCCTAACTCCTATTCAGCATAAAACAAGCTATTACTCCATCCTCCAGCACAGAGTGGGACTCACCAATGCAGCCTTTATGACAGAACCCCAAAATACTAGAACCAGAAAAAGTCCTATCTGTGGATTGATATGCATTCATTAACTTCCTTGTTTTGCATACTTTTGTATCCTACTCTTTGAATGTTTTAGACTGACTTTGACACTATTCAGTTGAAATAATATCATATAAATGTCCCATAAAATAAAATAAAACAAAACAAAACAAAACAGCAGGCACTGCAACATAAGACCAAAGCAGAATCATGTCAGAATGGGGTGGGATTCATGCCAGGAGGGCTGGAAAAAGACTCATGTGGAGAGGAGCCTCCAACAAGATCCTTCATGTGCTGCCTGGCTTAGAAATGTCCCAGTCCCCTGATCTCCAGCCATCAACCCAGAGCTTTGAGTTCTGGCAACCCAAAGGCTGTGAGCTGCACTCCCAGTGCTTGGACCAATTTTAGCTGCAGGCTGCCAACCACAGCACAGTCACACTGTGTGTCCAGGCAGTCTCTGTCGCAAAGCACTAGAAGTTATCAGAGTATGGACAATGTGGAGAAGAGTCTGGCTGTACTCATAAGTCAGCGGGACCAGGCTAGGGCAGAGCTGTGGGCTCAACATTATTTTACTGAGAAACATGAATGCATCTGTGCTGTCAAGTCATCTCCAACTTATGGTGACCCCGAGACTGAAGGCCCTCCAGAACATCCTGTCCTTGAGAGCCTTGTTCAGCTCTTGCAATCACAAGGCTGCAGCTGCCTTCATGGACTCGATCCATCTCCATTTGTCTTCCTCCTCCTCCTCTTCTTCTGCCTTTGGATTTCCCTGTCATGGTTAATTTTCTGTGCTCACCAGCCCCGCATGCCCAAGACCCTGTGGTGGAGAACAAGGCCTTTGCCTGAGGATAAAGGGCCAAGAGGAGAGTCCTGGCGGTGTCACTGCCTTTGCTGCGTTGCACAGACGCCACAGTTCCCACCTGCATTTTCACCGTCATGGCATGCCCAGAGAAGGAACGGATTTTCCCTGCATTACCATATGCATGCTCTGCTGCTGCCATTTAGGGGATCCCCACCACCCTGTGCAAAAGCTTTGCTGATTTCTTCCTAGGAAAGTGGCTTCCATGTAGCTACCACTTCAGCTCTAACTCCAGGCCTTTCCTGCTAAAGCCTGGAGTCTTGTATAGCAAGATGCAAGTGCCCTTCAGAGGTTGGGGTTCTGATCTCCCTCTCGTTTGTTTCTATGCCAAGCATCAAATAACTTTTCCAAGGAGAAGTGGAAGAAGTTTGCAATATTTCATTCATAGTAACACAATTTCATTCTGGGAAACAAGAACCTCTCCATCATTTGCATCCTGACCTTATCCTGTACAGTTCGGAAATTATTCAGTCCAAAAGTAATTGCCAAGTCCAGGAGAGCACATTTCCCTCTTGCTTTACTTGCTCCTGCAGGGATAATCCCGTGGTGTTCAGTGAAAGGTAGCTAATCTTCCTTTTCTTCAGAGAAAAATACTCCAGCTTTTGGGAAGCAGAAGCACTGATGACTGGAATGCTCATGTGCTTCTCCGTAAACCGTTGCCTTCCTTTGGGCACAAAATAGCAGGCAGCCTCTGAAGCGGCAGCCCTGCACGAAGGACGCTGCCTTGCCCCAGAGCACTGCGGCAGCAACCATTTCCCCAGGCCCAGCCAAGCCCTCTGTTCAGCTTCAGCACAGCGTTCAAGCCCATTCAATTCCTCTCCCGTGAATGGAACAGCAAGCTGAGGTCAGGGGGTAGTTCATGCCATCTGTAATGAGAAAAGAAGCTCTCGACATCCAGTCATAGACTCAGTTTGATGGTGTGATTTGTTACCTTAATTTCCACTGAATTTTTACAAAATTGAGGCAGGTCTTCCTCCACATGACCACTTTGCACAGTCCATCCCATTCCAAGGCCCTTGCTGGAACGAGCGCTGAGACCATCCCCCGGTGCTTTTTGTTTGCGTTGCCTAGTCTGCATGGAGATGCCCTCATATGCTAGGTGTGAAAAGTACTGCTGCTGTTTTCCACTCTAATTTTCATTCCATGACGCGCTGGTTGTTCGGACTGTCATACTCAGGCAATGACCATGCTTCCATGTTCCTTCATGTTGTCACAAATATGAGCATCCTTGACTGTGTGTTATCTTGCAGCAAACATGTTTTTTCCCCACATAAACATCCAAAGACTGGAGAGGCTATCCAAGAGTTGGGGTTCTGATGAACTCTGTTTGCAATGCCAAATTTATCATAAATAAGCCCAAGAAAGAGTTTCCTTTTAGCTACAGTATTTTTTATTTCCAATTGTTCTTTTGCCATCACTACATTTAGAATTGTAACCATTTAGTTATCTTGAAAGGGCCTTGCACACTGTCACCCATCCGTCTGCCTGCTTTTCATTGTGAAGATCGTGGCGGTCAAAGCAAGCCGCAGCCTCCCGGAGTCTCCCAGTCCTAGGAAACAATCAGAGAGAAAGTCAACCAGGCAAGGCAGGAAGCGAAAGCAAGCCCTACCTGTTCTGCCAGGAGAAATTCGGCCCCTTTCCCATATTATTGCGAGGGCAGGCGGGGCTCTTCCCGGGATGCTCTCGGGGCTGCTTCAAACGGCCTGGAAGCGACCAGGAAGGATGCGAGCAGCCAGCGCCTCCCTTCGCGAGCTGCCCTCCTCTTCCTGCTTGCGCCTGCCAGTCCTCAGCGCCGTGCTGAGCAGCAGCGACGCCCAGCGGTCAGGACCGGAAGCGCACGGATGGCGCGCGGTGCTATTTTGCACGTTCACTGCGCCAGGAAATTGAGGATTGCGATGCTTTCTCCTCATACCAGAATGTAAGTTCTGCCTTGTAGGAGCAAATTCAGATCTATTGTTGGCAGCCGTGTGGCCCACAGCTCTGGTGCAGCCGTTCGGGTTGCAAGGACTCTTCTCCCACCTCTCTGCTCCCCTCCTTTTTTTGTCTGTGGTGTCCTAGGCATTTTCTGTGCATCTTAACTTTCAAATAGGTTGGACATGGGGGACGGGGTGTTACTCTGTACACTGGTTGCTTCATAAGGCAACCAAAGCCCAGGATAATGGGGGCATCTTATTAGCATGAATTAGCCTTAATTCGGCTCAGAACTGACCAGTCTTTTTATTATTGGATTTGGTTGACTTTTGGGAAGGGGATTTATCATTACACTGTGGCATTCCCACTTTCTCCCCAGATTTGAATCTTGCAAATTAACCTGTATGAAACATGGGTTTATAAACAGTGATCTGAGGATAATCATGGTCTTGTTTCAAGAATCAGGACTCTGTAACCTTGGCGACGGCTCCCTTGGGTAAGGAAGCTCCCCTCTGTAATCGCCCTCCGCAAGTAAACATTTCTTTGCACTGGCCATTGCAACAGTTGCTTTTGTCTCTATAGGGCAGTGACTGAAAAGTTGCAGTCATGATCCTTACCGTATTTTTGTCAAGACTGGACTACTGTAATGCACTTTATAAGGGGCTTCCCTTGAAAACAGTTCAGACTCTTCAAATGGTCCAAAACAGGGCTCATGAGGACCTGCGCTTATGAACACACCACACCTGTCCTCCATTGGCTGCACAGGCCACCTGCTCCACCCCAGGCAGAATTCAAGGTTTTGACTACGACATAACAGCTTGGGACCACGTCATCCTAGGTCGTGCCTTGCTCCATGCATTCCTGCCCACTAACGGAAGCTCTCCCACAGGTTCCCCACCCCAAGGAGATTAAGGGGGGGGTTGCAAAGAGGGGGGCCTGATGAAAACTGTTCACCTATGGCTCTGCACACACTATTTATTGGCAGCACTCGCTTTAGCTGTAGTTTTATCTATTATTTTTTATCAATTTCCATTTTGTTGTTTGTATATATTGTGTCATATCATGTTTGTTCATAACTTTGTGTATTATTTTATTAATGTTATTATTGATTTTTATTGTAATGTCTGCCCAGAGAGCGAAATACCAATGGGGTGACTTTTATACAAATTAAACAAACGAATGAACAAACATTTGCTTTTGCTTCTCTCCTGTCCTTAGCTACTGTGATGTTTCTTCTGTCATCTATCTATGCTTTTTCTTTCTTTCTTGCTACAGAAATTGTCTTCTGACATCCTTCCCTAATAATGTCTCTGGTTCCTGTCCACAGCTCTTCCGGTTCGTGGCCAATTGAGTTCAGTAATGCAAACCTGTTCTCCTGTGGACTTAAATTCCTCAGGGATGTTATTGAATACATGATTGGTTGTACACACTCTTCTGTTAGTAAACTTTTGTAGCTTTGCTTTGATTTTTTGATTGCTATGACAATATTGTCCTGATCTTGTTTTGGAAGTGAGATTATGGATTCTCCATCTTCTTTTTCCAATTACACAGTCTTTGATTTCTATATTGGTCATCTGGAGATGTCCATGTAATGTCTGATCAATTTCCTAAAGTATGCATTGGCAATAAATAGGTTATTGGCTTCAGAGAATTCACTGAGCCTCTTCTCTTGCTTCCTTTCTGACCCCAGAAAAGATTCTTTCATAACATTGGATTCGCTTGTTTCCTGCTTTCATGTTCTAGTCACCCATGATTATC